CCCCAAAACCCCAAAACCCCAAAACCCCAAAACCCCTTTAGTAAGTTTAATTAAGAATTTCTAATTTTATCCAAGTAATTCTGCTGCTTCTTGAAACTCTTGAGATACTTATCGGTCAACTGTTTTGTAGTATACTTCTTAGTAGTTCTTTTAGGTCTTGATAGAGTACAGTCTCTGCTCATTTGGTATTGTCTGAAGAGGGAAGACTCCTTTTTCTGCTTCCAATTTGAAAAATTTTGCATGCTCATGTAAAAATCCTTCCTTTCTCTGATAGTTTTTCATTTGCTTCTGTTCCTAACCAATGGGGTTTGGGTGTTCCTTGGCTGTCTTAGGGTGTCTAAGAATCCATTGGTATAAATATCTCTCCTTTGGCCGCCAACAGAAAGGCCTCCATCATTCTCACTAAATGGATAGTTATGTTTCTTACAAAATGTATCCATCTCTGCCTAGTCCGTTCGATTTGTACCTGACTTTCTTGCATTCGATGCTTGGGACATACATTGATTTGGTATGCTTAGCACTAAAGGAGCCTAAAGATTAGTTGTAAGAAGTACCAGTATTGTAGATATTGTTCTCCATTGGACGATTTAGGCCTCCGTTGTTGATAGAGATGTATGAATCTCTCCCTTTGCCATCCCTTTCGTAATAAACTGGCTTTGACATCCCTATCTGGGTCCTCCTAAGGCAATTTTTAAGCGATCAAGGTGTAAAGTGTTTTAGTAAGAGAAATTTATAGATTTATTCACATTTTGGGATTAAGTTTGATTTACTTACGTATAGTCCTTCACTCCAAACATTTGGCTTCACGCTGTATAGAAGTTAACAGAAAAGATTTTGAATTAAATGAGATTAGTGATGAATGAGGTAAAAGTAATCATTTTTATTTCGAAAAAGTAGGTATAAAGATTTAAGTCTTCTTTAGACAAATAGAAATTTTAAATTTTGAACTAAAAGTTATTCATAATTTTATGAAAAATAATAATGATTAGAGACCAACATCTTGAAATATCCCTTTTTCTCCATTCTAATCCAATTCCTTAACACAAGCCTTCTCGACCTTTAAATTTACCTCTCCAAAAACCCACATGGTCCTCTTCCCTACCCTAAACCCTCAAAAACAACCCAAAACCCCCCAAACTTACTCTATTTTTAAAATTTTATTATTATTTTATTTCTCAAACCAACTATCCCCCAAAGGGGTTTTGGGGTTTTGGGGTTTTGGGGTTTTGGGG